GTGATTAACCTTCGGGTAAAGCAATAATGATCGTGTAATTAACAAACATACGTCTAAGCGATCTTGTAATCACACCCAGCTGGGCACAACCAACTACAAGCATCCACCGGAGTGGTATCAGCTTCACAGGTTTGTGCTGTTCAGTTACAACCTGCATTCGATTCCACGACGTAAACATAAGTCGAATGCAGTTGATCAATATGCACCTGAGAGGAAGAAGTGTGAGTTATATGTCGAAAGATGTTCCGATTTGCTCAAACGGCGATTATCAGTCGGTTTTAGTCTTATCTGTGCATTCAAATGGCTTTGGGGAAGCAAAATTTGGTAGCTATGATGTTACACAAATCTCCTCCACCCCCGTCACAGATGTCGGTGACACAAATGCAGACGATCCTGATGTCTTCTTCGTTTCCTTTTACAATTTTCGGCAACTGGTTAAATACTGCAATTTGTATTTTTCACTAGTCGAGCGCAAACCAAGTCCAGTAATTCAGTGATTGTAAAAAATACAGTGATGAACGCGCTCGTTTGCAGTGATTATTCTGCCGGCTAATACATCAAAATTTATGTCAAACTGTTTTGTAGGTGAGGAATCATAACAAAGAGAGAAAAGAAATAATTAAGGTTACAGCTAGACCCCTGTGTTTACTTCGCAGTCGTCGATCATAGGGGATTAAGAAGGGTATTCGGGTCACAGAGAAAGCGATTGGAGTTCACCTACGTAATCCACCCTATGTGCTTCAAATCAACTCTTAGTTAGTTCTGCGTTCGATGACCAATATCACACACGACACAGATATCCCCTACCCGCCCCTTATGACCCAAATCAATGTGGCCGCGTGACGACCGAAGTTTAAGTAACATCCGGTCATGGAATTGAAATGTTAACTATTTCTTTTCGCATTCTGTCACGAGTTTTCCCCCTACTGAACAGTTCGACATAAATTTGGATTTATTAGCCTGGGAATCAATTGACTCAACTGATGGGTGAACCCTGGACCTCACAGATAGAACGCAAGCTCACCAACCTCTTTGACCTCCGCTTTTTGTTTTGAAGAATCAGGATGTAGCACAACTCAAATGTGCAATTTTGTTGCAGGCATTACATAACGCTTATTTCAACATTTGTATTTAGGGTTATGACTATTTAAGGGAGACTACCGCTAAGAGAGACAGTATTTCCATAGAATCGAAAGAATTACTCACCCACAGCGCGAGAAAACTGAGACATGTTTTTTCTTTCCTGTTATTCGGTTTCAGAACAAAAACAAATTACTACTGCTGATTGCTTCCATGCAGATTCACGCGCATTTGTGGTTTTACCTCTTTCGATTGAGAGATGCAACAGTAGTTTGAATGCTTCAGTGAACACAAACCACGATGGATAGGAACACGGAGCAGATGGAATCTCAATTCTCATCCATTCAGACAAAACAAACAAACCGAACGATCCGGAATTAAGCCAATTTTCTGATCAATAGATGAAAAAAGAAACACAACGAAGTCTTTTGTACACACAAAATTTGATTACGTAACATGATTGACATCGCATCGCTGAAAGCTAAGAGCCTGGGAGTAACGTTACGTAACATCGGCTTGACCCATGAAAGTGGGTCAGCAATGTACCCAGTTGTCATGACATGTTTGCAGTTGATGTCACTGGATTTCTCTTACTAGATTCACCTCTGAGATGTTTTCGCTGACTCTGTCACAACAGATGTCCGAATACATTAAAAAATGGTTGTTACAGTCATTGATGCACTGAAATTTCAGAGGCCAATCTGATAAGACAAATACAGAACCATCAATTGCAAACATCGTTGACCCACTTTTATCTGTCAAGCCGGTTTAGGTAACCTGAATTCCACGCTCTTGGCTTTCAACACTGGCGTCAATGAGTCTGCGCTTGATTTTAATAGAACACTAAACCGGTTTGATCAGAGGATTCGGTGGATCAGAGAATTCGTAATTTTCCCGCTGAAGTCGCAGTTGATTACACAGTAGGATATCCAGTGTATACAATATGTCAAAACCTAATTGATTATTCACATTTAACTCACAGTTACTTGTGAGTAGTGGTGTGAAGAAAGTGTTTTTGATTTGAACTAATCATCCATGAAGACGACACCTAAACAAACATGAATTGGTAGTTCATTTCAACCCTCGTTTGAGCTGGTCGGTACAGTGGTAACATTCACGCCTATCATGCAATGGATCCGGAGTTTAAAGCCCGGACGAAACGGTGGATATGTACTACTGATGAGCTTTATTAAGAGCAAAACGGGTACCTAGTGCTTCCGAATTCATGATTGACTGGATGAACTGAGTATTGTGTATTAAGGTGAAATCCAAAAGATGTTCAGTTCAAATCAATAATTGATTATTCTTGAGAAAAATGTTACATTTATTGATTTGAACTAATAAGTATGCTGCTGTGATATTTTATTGGATTTTGAATATATTTCCAAACTCATATCAGAAAAATTGAGAGAATATATGGGATCTGTTCCAACTTAGGACCAGTAATAGGCGATTCTCGATATTCGCATGATCGGCCTCGATTATCGGATGTATCAACTTACCGAAATCTCCGATTGAAAAGCAATCGATCCGAGATAATAATGATCCTATCGTCACTTTGATCATAAAACGAGTGTTACTTCCTTCTCTGTTTCTACCGACCAATTTTGCTCAGCCTAATTTTAAAAGCTCGGGGTGTTTGAAAAATGTTGAGAAGCCCTCATTAAGCATGCGCTTTACTAAGCTCCCAAGATGCGCGCACAAAGAAGACATCTGTTTTTGAAGCAATGAGTCCTCTTTATCCATTTCACCAATACCGAAAGAAAACTGATGTCGCTAGATGTTAACCTATCGTTTAATCTTCTCAATCGCTAACTCGAAACAAACGTTCACATAGATAGCACATGGGTCTACTCACTTGTGGTGAACGAACGTGTACAAGCGTACAAGGATACTAAGTTGAGCAGTAGAAGGTCAAATCCACGGTAAAGGGATTGATTATTATCAAAGTTTTGTACGCATAAGGTCGGGTGATGTAATCGGATAAGCAGTGCTTCACCAATTGCCAAACGTTCACCATTGCAATTACGTAATAGTGGTTTGAAAGACGAAATGGGGTCAACTGTGTCTTGTTGTCAGAGCATGTATTTAGTATGCTTGTACATGTTCCCTCACCATAAGTGAGTAACCCTCTAGTGCACTTTATCAGTAAATCATTGAACCAATCGGCCAAGTCTGTCCGTTGTTTTTCTCGACTATTCGTTTGCGTTTGATTGTTTCCCCATCATCCCTTCTTTTGAAACTTGAATCTGTTGGCACGCCAAAACAACTGCTGTCATGGCTTGTTGACTATTTCACGTTTTTTGTATCAGACAGTTTCATCTCCTTCGGAATATCATTCCTTTACTGAAAGCCTATCCCACATCCAACAGTTTTCTGACCAATCTGGTCTCAGTCTTAATATATCTAAGGGCGTATGGTGTATTTTCCCGCTTCTCCTTTCCAACGAAATCTGCTACCCTTAACGGTAAACCCGTATTCAGAATGACCTCAGTCAAGTACCTGGGTGACACCATCGACAGCAATCTTCATTTGTCTACTCATATTTACAACTGTATGGGAAAACTGATACGCCTATTTTTTCAGTTACGCAAACTCAGGCAATTCCGAACCCCCACAGTCAGTTCTGTCGTCTTTCGTTCATCAATGCGTTTTGCCCATTCCACTCTATTGCTCCCCTGTAGTGTTTCCTGGTCTTTTAAAACAAGACTTCAAAACAAATCACTGTAGTTTGGTGATCATCAGTTGTGCATCATTAATTCCGATCAATTCAATAATCACAGAACTCATTGATGGTCACATCAACTCTTGTTTAGAACTTGCTCATAAGATTCTAGATGATCCTCTTCATCCACTACACCCTGATCTATAGTCTTGTCGCTCCCATTGGTCCACATGTTCCTCATCTCGACATCTATCCTCTCGCACTAACATTTATAAAAATTCCCCTGTACCCTACCTGGCCCGACTACTTACCAAAAAGGGAACAGGTCTCAATTGAACCACGTCAGAAGTTTTGTATATGAAACAAATATCGTCGACATTCTTAACCTTTCGTTATTATTATTATTATTATTAATAGTAGTAGTAGTAGAAGTGTTACATTCTGCGTGACGAACAGTGTACGTTTTTAACTGAAATGTAAGCATGTATGCTTACACAAGTTATAAAAATACGAACGCAAAATACAAATACAAACCCCTGTGTTATAGATGTGCCTGATTGTTTCAAATCTGCAGCTGAGAAGATTAAACGAAATGGTAACATCTTACGAAATTTGACATCTGTTTTTGTTTTTAGTAATCTGTCACATAAGAGCATTTCAATGTGAGGGAGTTATGGTGCAAAGTGGATCGATCCCAACAGCCAATCTGGCCAGCCGTATTCCATCTCCCAATCAGGTGAGCATAAGTCATGTACACCAAACAAAGTTGTACCTTCTAAGGATACCTGCGCCAAGTTACTGGGGTCGGCTCTGGACAGGTAACTTGGAATTCTATGGAACTTTGTTCTTCTGACACAATAATAACTTCCATTCCCATTTATCACTGCTCCTTTTTCCAACTAGCCGGGAGGGTGTTTAGAATCCGCACATACGTTTATTTCTTTGCACAATAACATAAACAGTATAGCCGATAAGTCTTACTCTCTTGTATCATCTCGTCTGATGGCCAATTCATAGTAAGCAATAAAGTTTCTCAACCTGAAGCAGTCCGACTTAAGAATGTAACCAAAGATTTGTGTTGCACCTTCAACAGCCTTTTACGCAATTCGCTGCATAACGCCATTCAATAAGCAGTTAAAAAGGAGAAAAAATATTTATTACTGTGAAAGAGACCCGCCAGATCAAGGCATATCTTTATTGGTAATCCTTCTCACATGCGAGCAGAAGTTTATTTAAGTCATAGGCATTCAAAATATTATTTGTTTTGTCCGGTTTCTAGTTCACGCATCATGCGGAGCACCAGTTCATCCTGATACGGTTTGCCAGCAACTTGAACAGCCAAAGGTAGGCCAACAGTGTCCGACTGCATGTTGAACAAACGTTGGTGATACCGATCTTTCGCTTTCTGTCGCTCCTCAGCCCATTTATTTGACTCCTCTACATCCTCTTCAGTCACCCGGCCGATTGGTACGGATCCCGCGGGAAAGTCCATTGCATTGTATATGCCTGTATAGATCATAGGTGGATTAGTGTAGTAAGCTGGAGTGCCCTTGGCATAAGCTGGACTAGTCCAAACTGGACAGAGGATTACATCAATCGAACCGGCCTCCTCCATGGCCTGTAAAAATTCTCGACGATAAACTTGAAGTTGATACATTGCTTCCTGTAAATCCTGTGGCCGATTAAGCTTTTGAACCATTTTCGCCCAAGCTGCCGGTATGCCCATATTGTTTCTGGCTGCCCCATCCAACAGACCACGCAGACCATCAGGTGTGTTGGCCATTAATCGCATCGCTTGAGTTTGTTCGCTGAGTGGTTCATTGCTTAACAAACGTGAGGCTGTTTGACCCCCATCCGGACTAATAGCGCGTAAGATCAGTTGCAATAATTCGGCCGGTCTAGGTGGACTGAACGGTATCACATGGTAGCCTTTCTTTCTCATGACCTCTACCGCCTGAGCTATGCCGCGGCGTACTGAGGGCACGGTCTGGATAAGCGATGGATCATCAAATGTGTCGTAGTAACCGATAACAAGCGGTTTACCGTTGACTGCGTCGTAGATTGAATGTCTAAATGGAAGCGGAATCACGGTCGGGTCCATTTCATACATGGGTGTATCGAAAAGGACTTGCATTACTCGAACCAGGTCACTCACACGTTTACCCATTGGACCGACAGACACGCGGAACGGGGGAAGCACCATTCGTGGATCCAGTTCAACCACTCCGATCGTACTCACTCGAGTAGCCGTGGGCTTGAAGCCACAAATACCACAGAATGCCGAGGGGATACGAATACTGCCCAATAGATCAGTTCCGATTCCAATCGGCGACCCGCCTTGTTTTATCATTACGGCTTCCCCGGTTGAGNGTTGAGCTACCCCCGGGTTCATGGTCTTTCGAATTCGGGTTGTGCATGTCCCCATAGACAGGATTGAATCCGGTTGTGGTCAAAGCGAGTTGAGAGGTTGCAGTCAGAACGAACGGCACAGCCCCGGCTTTCCGTAAGACACGTACCACAACTGAATCTTCGGATTTTGATTGCCCAATCAATTTGACAAGTCCAATAGTGCAATCATATCCTTTGACTGCGCACAATTCCTTCAAACTGATTGGTATGCCATATAAAGGAGACTGTTCCGAACTGAGCCGGGGATTGTTTGTCAGATCCGTGGCTTCTTGCTCAGCTTCGCGGATAAATTCACACATCCCGGAATTTCCCAGAGTGTCATGCAAACGTAACACTTTGGCCTGAAACGCGTGTAACACCTGCAGCGGGGTGAGAGATTTGTTTCGTAAACGAGTCTCCAACTGATCCAAATCCAGTTCTACCACATCGTCCCAACTTTTCCTTTCATCTTTACTCAGTCCGTTCAAGAATTTCTCAACTTCCTTTCGCCTCGAACTCAGCTGATCATGTTTCTCTTTCAGTTTGTTGTTGTTGTTTATTGCTTTTGGTAACGACATCCAATTGTACGAGTAATCAATCTGTGGGAAATATCAGAAAGGAATTAAGCAGCATTTGATGAAAACGTACGATAGACTTCATATTCAAAGATGTACTCAGATATTTGTCAGTGGGGTTAAAACAAACTCAAAGCGCGTCATAATGCGTCATAACTGTAGAAGGTAACCAGAGAAATTATTCATTGTTCACAAAATATTCGAGTTGGAAGATGTATCGGTATATTTGTAACCGAATTGCTTACTCCAAATGCCGTGCAGTGGTGGCCAAGTGGTTAGGTCACCAAATTGAGACCCGGAAGTACCGGGTTTGAACCGCTCCACCACCGCCCGTTTATCCTATTTCTGTATTTCCCCAGGCAACCTTTGCATGGCCCCAGCCCCTTCCTGACGGTTGATTTTACATTTATACATTCAATAAATTAAAATGGTAGTAAAAAGACATGTAGTATCATTATTATTACCTCTGACTGACAAGAAATTAGGGGCTACCAACAGAGAAGTTTCATCACTCCATCAAATAGAACAGCACTCTATTAGACGCTGTATACCGATGTTCAAAGGTTCCAAGATCTTCCGCCTCATTTACTGGAAACTTGGGCAAAACATACATCTGTGTTCTGCTCTTAGTTAATTTATTAGATCATTCAAGTCGTCTATATGTTTTTTATCAACCAAAGGGAGTAACTTAGATAGTAGAAACGCCTGCCATTTCCCACAGCGTTTGTTACTCATCAATCCAATCCAATACTGCATTATTATGGTGTATTTTGCGAAGTGGTGCTTCGAAACGCCCCATTTGATGCACAGACTGTTTGTGAATTTATTTGGTGATAACGTTACTAAGTTGCATATGAATACTGTGAATCATAGAAGTTTTAGCTATTATTCCAAAATAAATTAAGAATTCGGTAAACTGCTACGAAGTACGGCACCTTTATCATAGTTCTTTCCAGGAGAAATCGTAAAACATCTGAGAAAAAAAACTGAAAATGTGATAAAAACAGATATTATCTGTGTATGTTCCACTTGTACGGAGGATGAAACCGTTCATTTATCAATCGAACATGGGTTGACTATTAAATCGGTTGCAATCATTAGTTCAAGCTCCGTTTACGTCCATGCTCAGTTTGCGTTATTGTGCTGATCCGGGCCTACGAGATTACGCATACCCTGGAAAGAAGCGTTACAGTTTTAGAACAACTATGATCAATCAAACTTCACGGGTGACGTCAGCAAAGCTCGTAAGCGTCACTATTTCTCGAGTACATATCATGGGTAGGTCTTATCAGCCAATCAGAGACTGAGCGGCCCAGACCGAAGCATAACGACTCCAGAAATACTGGAATGCGATTGTTAGAAGCCCGGATGACCAATGAGTTTGTTCTGTACATATTATTTAATCCCGCTTACTTCTTTCAATAAACGAACTACTACTCCTGAGGCCTTTTCTTCGCGTCTCGGTTGGGTGGGATATTGTATGCAGGTGCCAGTGTGGTCCAGTGCTTTCGTGACGTCCGTGTCCGCTAATCAGTGACTCGTATTCCGTGATTCGTAGTCCGTGATTCGTGTTCATTTTGTGCTACTACTACTGTCACTACAATTACTATTTATATTGGTCAGACACTTGTGCAAGTGAATATCCAGTTTCAGTTCAGTTCAGTTTAAACAACCAATAACCATACATTTCCGTACGACGCTTTTGGTTGCTGCCTTTTGGCTGCCCATTTGGGTGAACAATAGGAGGAATATTACATATATATATATTCTTTATTCTTGAGCTACACGGTCGACGATTATCACCTTGTGCGAATGGTTCAATCAATTTAGAAGGTGAATGTTTGGATTAGCCCATTCGGTTTTTCACAGGCACCAGGCACTGTTGATGACGGGGACACAAAAAGTACGCACTGCTGATGAGTCCCAAACAGAACGAAACAGCTGTCCAGTGCTCTTTATCGGTTATCACAAACATCTCCATCTCAATAAAATGCATATAAACAGTGGGTAATTACCGATCTCCCAAGGAGTGAAACCCACATAGAACATCATCAGCAATGCCTGATGCCTGTGAAAAACCGAATTGGCTAATCCAGATATTTATATGTTATATTATATCATATTTTATTATATTATAGGATCTTCCTTAGTCATAAAGAAACTGTCAGGACTATCCGCAGTGCAACATTTGATAGCCAGTGAACATGGAATCACGTTGCAGGCTGATTTGCGAGCAACGTCTATCTACAGAACTGGGCTATGGCACAATGACCACGAGAAACAGTGATCAACTTGCCTTTCGATCAGTTTAATCCTTTCTGTCAATCTCCTCGACGGCCCATTCACACATGTTTTCCTGGTGCACTTTTCGGCAGATTTTGTTTCATTTTGTTCACGGCTTCCGACCCATACACCTATCTATACCAAGTCATTCGTTATTATCTAGTTCACTGTCAACATATCCACTTCGACAACATATTTACTGTTCATGGGCTAGTGATAGTAAAAACGTTTCTTATTGACGAGTTCCGTGCGCGTAAACTTTATTTTCATCAATAGATTTTATTCAGAGCGACGATGGCTATGTCCAACAAACTAAATTGAGCAAGGAAAACTTGGACGTGTTTGGTGTCAACTGAATGAGTCCAATGGCTTATCGATTGTGTCAAAATGCTTTCACTAACATCAACAGCTGAGATGTGATTCAACTGAAAGTACCTTGAGCGGATTGACCTTTTGGCCTCTCTAAATTGGCTGAACAATGTTCAAATTCCTTTCTCGAACATTTAGGACTGGATGTAATCATTCAATACCTACTGGTTGGAAGATAGAAGGAGAATCGGAAAGCAATGAATATTCCTTTTTGCTAATTAATCGGGTTTTGCCAACACGATGAAGTTCGAAAACCCAGTGAATTTTTATGGGTGAATGCAAGATCAGTTAGGAAAATACTACACTGCATTTGGCTTAATTAAGAATAAATATTGCCAACGTTCGAACCTACAGTAGTGGGGACATCACGATTTCTTGATTGTGAAAAGCCTAACGGCAAGCATGTTTTCGAACTTATCGAATGAGGTCGATCATGGTTGGTGAATCAAATCACAGAGGACGCCGATTTCTGGTTTAAAGTAGGATGTATTCCGTGAGGTGGACTAATTGGCGACTTGTAACAGATAAAAGCCAAATCAAACCAAGCATCATTTTCTGAAGTAATATTAGTTAATATGTTCGTCGACACCAGAACGGAGATGAGACATTCTATTGCTGTTCTAGTACAAAACCGAGCAGTGTTTTTCTTTCCATGCGTGTAATAAACTTCACGTTATTTATGTCGAAACTGTGAAAAGTTGATTAGCCTCAGAGGGATTCGAACCCACACATGGACGCCGCAATCTCAACGTCACAAGCTCGATGTAAAGACGTGAATCTGCAAACAACAATTCACGTTATTTGTTCATTTGTATGAGAATTAAAGAGCTCTTCTAACAGTGTGAATGGAGAAGTTGCCATTCACAGAGAAGTATCATTACATGAAATTGTGAAAAATAATAAAGTGATTAAAAAATGAAATACGCATCAGAATGATTAGATCTAACGTTTCGTAATCGGTGAACAATATCAAGCTCATGAGATTGATCTTTTCGGTTGTTGTGTTTAAAACAAACAAAATTTCAAGGGAAGTCAGACATTGTAAACAATTACTCTTATTCCACCCTATTAAGCGTAAATGCTCCTTATTCAATAACTCGTATGATCTGTTTCTGGGACAATGGGCAAGCCACCCATGCGATCATGAGAAGGACCCGGGACAGTGAGCAGCTGTCAATTTTTACTAACGTGAACTGGCGTAGCACTGCATATTGACATTGTAGTATTGCTTTCCATGGCTAAACAATGGTGACTGAGTCATCTGATTCCGATGGTTATTTGTGGATTGATCTCTAATTCCCAGAGGTAACTTGTCACTCGACACCGAAAACTGAGGGAACGCATCAAGCAAACATGTCACCAGCGTGATCAAACTAAGTACAAACCAACATCCGCTGAACACAATCAGATTCTAGTGCAAGCAATGAGATCTGTTCGTGGCAACGCGGTAAAGGAAACTGATTTCTAGCGGGTAATAGTTTCATTTCGCTGCTCTGCGGCCCTTAAACAAAAAGTAATCTTGATTTTGTGTTTGTAAAGGAAAGAGTAAAAGATTATATGCAGAAAGCCCTGCATTTTTTTCTAGAACTTTCTTATAAAACGGTTGGTTATGCGCCAAAGGACATAACAAAGTAGCGTGGAAAATAAATCATTCAACCATTCTCTACCTGTGGAAGGCGACACAGGAATGGAGTTGATCACAAAAAGTTGAGAACCACCATAGAACATACATTCGACATGGTGAACTGATTTTGCTCTAGACTGGTAGACTGCTCTAGTTTTCGGCTCAAAGGCACGTTCTCTACTCATTCAGACTCATTCCATGTGCGCTTAATTACCTTTTTCAGCGGGAAACTATATGCGTTCCCGGTAGAGTTCACAGCTTACCCAACCCAATCACACAATGAAAATGTATTACGCAATGAGTCCCTTCTGCCGTAATCAGTGTAACCAGTCTGAATTAATTTAAAACCGTATTTTGATCAAAGTCGAAGCAGTTCGAATCCACTGAGGTAAGCCTCTTTTGCGTCCTAAAACTAGCTGTGAAAGAAACTTAGTCAATCATTATGCGGTTCTGCGATTCATCACATATTCCGTACTCCGGCCAGGACCGAGACCGGAGCGTCAGTTCAACCACTTTCGGTTTGTGAAATTCGGACGGAAAATCCCATCCGGTTTTCACGTTTTTATCTTTTCCATGATTCAGTGTAGAATGTCACAAAAACGTCGCATAATGAATCACACTCTGCTTGCCCTATCCCTTCCCCCCCCCCAATACAGTCCTTGTGCGCAGGATTTGTACCTTGTATTCGATCGAACAGAAATATTCGATTCCATTCGCAGCTTGGTCGGATGAATTTCGGTGATAATCCTATCCGAAATGATTAAAAAAAGTCAACACAGTAACATCCTGCTCTCAAACTAGGATCTTTT